TCTTGTGCTTGGTAGTGGTTCACGACCAAGAATGCGCCCTCTGACTTCATCCAATTCCTTGTTAAGGCCGACAAGGAATTCGAAGACGCGTTCTTTTTCCACCATCTTCTGGAATAGAGCCCTGTCCTTAGCACAACTCCATTCGTAGTCGCTGAACATGTCAACCTCTTGCCACAAGGTCTTGAGTTCAGTATAGTATTGAGTGACAGTTTTTTCTCCTTGTTTTAGCCTCCATAACCGAGTTTTTAGTTCAAACCATTGTCCTGCGTTCCCGAGATCAGAATAGGTCTCGTTCACAGCATTCCAAATGTCATGAGCAGTAGGTAGGAAGAGATAAGTTCTCCCTACACTCAGATCCATGGAATTTATGAGCCAAGACATAATCATCGAGTTTTCTGCCTCCCATCTTTCAGATTCTTCATCTTCTTCGGCAGGTTTCGTAGTGGTACCTGAGAGATAGCCGAATTTTCCACGGCCACGAATAAACAGTTTCACAGATTGTGACCACTGTAAGAAATTATTTCCATTCAACTTGTGAGAAGTGATGGATATGTTTTGGAAGGATTCAGTGTTTAGGGTGATTGAAGGTAAGCGAGTAGAACTCATAGAGTCGATACCAGAGGTATCATCGTAGGGTTTGGCCATTTTGGCTCTGACACCATAAAGACGGAAAAACTTGTTCCGAATAAACCGTGTTTTATTTCTGCTGAATATGGCTGACTTAAATAGAGTTTACAATGTAACAACTTTACATAAAAAGATGCATAAAATTAGCAACAGAATAAAAATGATTCTATCTAATTAAAAATGATCATATCTAATAACTAATAGAATAAAAAACTGATTCTATCTAATTAAAAATGATCCTATCTAATAACTAATAGAATAAAAACTGATTCTATCTAATTAAAACTGATCTTATCTAATATTTAATTTAGATAGTCTCGACACTTAGTAACGCTCTCCTCCATATTAATTCCAACAATTTGCTTTTCACCAAATTCAATTGCAGGCCCGACATCAACTCAAAAATACGTAACACTCTACTTACGTTCTTCAGCTGACCCAAAGAAGCATTACATAAAATTAACAAATCATCCGCGAACTGTAAATGTGATAGCATGAAAGAATTCCCTGCCTTCCCGATTTCAAAACAATAAAATAACCCCAAATTTATTGCGTTGGACATCAAGTTTAGTAATTCCCCGACCAAATTAAATAACAAAAGGGACAAAGAACACCCTTGCTGAAGCCCTCTAGCGATCCTGAACTCTTCCGTTGGTGACCTGTAGACTAAAATAGAAATGGAGGCCGATGAAATGTACTTTAATATCGAGGAACACCACCGTAGACTAAAATAGAAATGGAGGCCGATGAAATGCACTTTAATATCGAGGAACACCACCACATTCCGAACCCATCTTCTCCATAATTTTCAACAAAATCCCCCAATCGACAGAGTCTATGCTCTTCTAAAATCCACCTTAAAAGACACCCCTTTTAATCTTTTTTTCCTCCAGTAATCTATACCTTCATTTGCAAGGAATGAACAATCCATAATCTGTCTACCCGGGATGAAAGCGAACTGTGATGACCCTATTAAGTTATCAATACATCCTCGCAATCTCCTCACGAGAACCTTTGACAAAATCTTATAAAGAGCACCCACAAGGTTGATCGGCCTATAATCATCCAAGCATTCCAGGCTCGTATTCTTTGGAATAAGCATAATAAAGGAATGATTTACTCCATTCTCCCAATCCTTCCCTATGAATAAGTCTTTGAAGAATCTCATAATCTCGGTCTTTAATTTGGATCAAAATTTCTTGAAGAAGCCCATACAGCCATACTAAATCTGTCAGGATCCGACGCTTTATTACTATCCGATGAAGCAATAGCCTCCTATACCTCCTCCTCCGAGAAGGGGTTTTCCAAAAGTGAACTTTCTTTCTTCCTATAGCCTAGCGAAATTTAGATCCATAGAATCCACATCACGGTGTTCTTCTGATTATAGGCAACTTTGAAAAAGTCCTGGACAGTGTTCTTTATCTGCGTCGGATCAGAGATCAACCTGCCTTCAATTCTCAGATACTTTATTGAATTAATTCTGCCCCTATTCGCAGCACTTTGATGGAAAATATTGAGTTTCTATCGCCTTCTTTAATCCACTTAACCCGAATTTTTTGAAACCAAATTTGCTAATCTTTTCTGTACAAATCCCACAACTCCCTTCTAGCTTTCGCCAACTCTTCCCTTGAAAATATCGAAGACCCCTGTTGTAATTCCACTCCATCTCATGAACCTTCTTTTCCAAATTCAAAATCAACCCTGGCAGCTTCAAATAATTATTGTTTGACCACCCATTTATTGATTTCTTTAAATTTTTAAGCGTACTCAGAATGCCTCTTTTCCTCCTCCCCTTCTGTATCTTCTCTAACTCACTTTCCATCATTTCTTGAAATCCCTCTTCTTCTAGCAAATAATTGAAAAATCGAAACGGCTTCGGCCCCCAATTCTATCCCCTGTTTTCAATCATAATAGTGTTATGATCAGATAACGATTACGGCAGCAGATGTTGCGATATTTCTGAAAAAGCTGTTGCAAAACTACAATCTAATAGGAATCAATCCAATCTGATTTCCGTTGATGTTTCCAGGTTATTACACAAATTAAAACGACCACCTAACAAGGGTAAATCAACTAGATTCGCCTGCATCACAAAGTCATTAAATATCCTCATCGAATGCAAATTCTGTTACCCACCAATTTTCTCCTCTTGGTTCAGGTAAGCATTAAAATCACCCCCATACAGAAAGGAATATCCAACTGTACAATGAAAGATATAAGTTCCATGAAAAAATCCTCTTTTTCTGAATCCACTGACGGCCATAAACATTTATAAAACAATACTGCAGACCGGCCTCCTTATATTCTCCCCAAATCGCAATAAACCTCCTATGACTACGTTGTTGCTTTAGAAGAAAAACATTCTCATCCCACAAACTTATCATACCCCAAACTGATCCAATCGAAGGCGACACTACAAATCCCCGCAAATACTTCCCCCAATCCTTCTCAACAACATTGGACTTACTGATTCCATTTTTGATTCCTGGATGAACACAAAAGACGGCTTCTTCTCCACAATCAACCTTCTCACTGCTCTAGCCTTCTCCTTTCTACCTAACCCCCACATTCCATGAAATTATTGACAACTTCATCATCAAAAGAAAACAAAATTACCTTCAAGCGAAACGAGAGATTAACTCCCATTCCTCTTAATCTTCTCCTTGTTCAACTTGGCCACTTTATCCACAAACACTTTCTTCTTATCCCTAAAGGTTATACCCATGATGTTGCTGATTTTCCACGTAGCTTCTGCCTCTTCCATGTCAACTGACCTTCTCGAAGACACTGAAGGCAAGAACTTTCTTTTTTCGAGGCCATCGACGTCCCATTTCTTCTCGATCTACTGTACACCCTATTGAATAATCTACTATCATCTCTCCCCACCGAAGCATGTCTTCCCACTTAACGATTTAACGATCGCTTCCTTACTAGAGAGAGAGACTTAGATTTAGATCGATTAAGGAATCCTGATGATAATCTTTCTCTCTCAACAGATTCCCTTAACTGGTTAAAAGCACCTCTCCAATTGGATGCGTACCTCGAAGATTGGGTCTCTCATTAGACCTAATTAAGTTATCTTCAAAAGCTACAGGGCTAGACTCGTCCTTCTCGGCCCATTTTCTAATTCTATTCCACCAGAATTATTAAGAAAAGACCCTTCCTGACGCTCCATGTTGACTTCCTCCACTCTCCCTAGATTAGGCGGGCCCACAAAGTCATTTGGTTCTCCTCCCGAGCCAATCATTAATGCATCCTGACCCAAAACGGCTGGAGTATTAAACACCTCATTATTTCCTAGGAGACCGCCGTTCTGATTCTCCTGCAACAATGCTTCCACCCTTGCGATATTTGATCTGACTGATGGTCTTCCCTGTTATCCTGAAACAAACCCTCTTGCAGATTCTGGTCATCTTTTAAATAACTTTCCGACGAATCATCTTCCCACCCATATGAGGAATCTACTTCTGCTTCATTCCAAATAACATTTGTGTAGCTATCCTCCTGCGAATCAACCTTAATCTTGATTTTATAAGGCCTTCCATTCGTGTTTATTATAATGAACTCAGGGATGTCAAACGGACTCGCCACCCTTAATACCAACTTTGTTGCTCGGAAATCAGCTTTTTGGAGAGTTTCATCTTGTATCTTAACCAGAGACCCCCATCTCGATGCCAGTTTCAAAAAAAGCTTCACACCAGCAGTTCAGAGGCACACCTATTAATGAGACTGAGCAAAAGGCCATAGGCACTCCTCCCTCTTGATACACAGGGACCAACCTTTCAAACCAGAACTCTAAATCCTTCGCTCTGTTTTCCATCGCTTTCTTCTTCTCATCCTCCGATGGGAAAGTGATGCTGCACGCATTCTTTGCATATCCCCAGGTCTCCACTTCGACATTGAGCCCGTCACTCTGTATTACCTTCTTGATAGACACCAAATCAACAGTGGATTTGAGAATACCTGTATATGACAGCTTGATCCACGCCCTCTCTTCCACAGGTATGAACACGTTCAGAGGACTCTTAACCTCCCCATCCCATTTCTTCTTCCTTTCTCCATCACCCGCTTGATCCTTCTATCATCGCAAAACTTGTTAAAAGATGCCGATTTATCTGCTCCCATGCTTGGAATGTCTCCTGTACTCCTCTTTGGAGCTTCTTCTTTACCCACATCTTTTCCTTCTGCGCATCTCTTTTCTGATATTTCGCCACCGCAACAGATATCCTTTATTTCAAAGTTGATCACCAGAAATAAGGTTTAAAACTGTTCTGAAAATCACACTCAGTGAAGACCACACCAGGGTATGGGTTCTGGATGTTTGCATGTTTTGGTTTTCCATTCCTATCTCATGCTTGCATTGGTCTTGCTAGGTTGATCCAAGTACTGGTGAGGCCGAGGATGATGGAGTAGAGGACGAGTACCAATTAGAGGAGCTTGAAGTTGTTGCAGCTGATTACATGTTGAAGGTGGGCGTCTCTAATTTCAGGAATGCTTGGGAAAGCATGGGCGCAGATTGTGAACGTGTCGATGAATATGGCCTTGGTCCTAGGGAAAGCCTGGCTGAAGCTGTTAATGCTGTCATAGATCTTCTTGGCATGCAACCTTGCGAGGCAAGTGTACAATGTTTTTTTCCCCTTTTGCTATTATGCGGTTGAAATGGATATGCATTTTACCCTTAATCTTAATTGCTTTATATTAGAATTAAAATGCCATACTTGTTTTCTTCACTGCAATTCCATTGTTATATGACGATCCATTTGTGGTGGTATCCAGGGCACGGAGGTTGTCCCCAACAATTCAAGATCACACACTTGTCTTCTATCTGGAGTATACATCGGCAACGTCAAGGTGCTTGTGCGGCTACAATTTGGACTTGACGGTCCAAAGGATGTGGCGATGAAGCTTGCTGTTAGATCTGAAGATGAAGCTGTTAGTGATGCAATTCATGAGATTGTAGCCAGTGGCTAGGTTATCGTCAATCGACTATTTTTTTTGCCTCTAATCAGGCTTCTATATATGATTTTTTTCCCGGTGGTTTTATATGGTATCGGAAGTAGATGCAGCAAAAACCATATAAGCCCATAGAAAGAACTTTGATGCACATTGTCTTTTTACCTTGGTACTTATTTATACGAGACTCTTATATGGGATTATTGCATCCATCAAGCTTTGCTTTGAGAGCTATTTTGCTTCTAGTCAATTGTCATGAAAAGAACGTTTCATAACTTTTGCATTAATATTATGATGTTCTTTTAGTTGTTAATATTATGCCGAATTTGAATGAGCCCCTATTGAATGTTTATATAATATTTGACTTCTCTCACAAATGACATCTCCCAACTATAACGTAGATGCACTCGGATAGATCCATTTTACGAGCTGTTCGATCGGTTCATAGACATCGAAGCAGAAATTTTCTTCAGATAGAAAGTTCTCAAATTCAGTGCTACCTTTCTAATCTTTCTTCTCCACTAATCAATCACACTGGCTTTCCACATGAAAGATGCAAAGCAACATTACAATATTAGGGTTGAAACCAGAATGAATCTCTTCCAACAGCGACAAGGAACCAGTTTTCCCGTCTTAGAACTCGAATCAAATCACCGTCCTGTGTCCTCCAAATGCCCAGATCTGCCATGTCAACAACCAAGTATTATCACAAGTAGTCACGGTTCGTTTTCCGTTTCTACAAGCTGCAAAAAAAGACCAACATGGACTAACCTTGAGGTTTGTATCCCAACTTCCTGTACATAAGGCACTACCATTGGCCGACAAACCCAAACAGCTAATCCGGCCCTTGTGCGAATTCTGGACAGATCCTAAATCCAACACAACCTGCAAAAAAGTGTTCTTAATTAGAAACGCTGCCTACCGTATGCAAGAGTCGAATCGAATTTCATTAGTGTGAGCTCGTACTACATTTCAAGCTTCACCCGACGAATTTTCCCACACAACATACCTGAACTAAACAATGGAGGGAAATACTTAACGATATTCAAGAAATAATTAAACCTTCATGGAAGAAAATACTTTGCCGATAACTAAAATCAGGGCAATGAAGTGTACCTGTGCCAATAAAGTGTCCCATACATAGCAATCTCCATTTGAGTATCCAGCAAAGAGGAGTCTTCCAGATATGGAGAATGCAATCGATTCACGTGCGGAACCTCATTATCGTCAAGTTGCTGATAGTAAACTTGCAACAGGTGACCGGTTCTGATGTCAAACAACCTACAAGTTCCGTCATCTGATCCAATTCCAAACTTATTGCCATCTGGAAAGAACTTCAGTGTTAATATCAACCTCATGACCCTGAAATGTACGCACTGCTCAACTTGCAACGAGTATCCCACAGTCGGGCAGTAGCATCATAGGAACCAGAAACAAACATTCTCGAATTTGATCCATTGATCGAAACACTGAAGGAATGGGGAAAAAAGTAACATTGTAAAACAAATTTATTATCATTCATGATAAGTTTCTAACAGCATTACACTTCTTGTAAACAGTACAACATTGGTCATAGGGTCCATTATATGCATTATAAAAGCAGAATAAATATATCAGATAAAATTTCATATACAAAAAGTGGGGTTCAGGCTTCCTCCAGGTTACAATCAGCAGTTATCAAGTAATTACATTGTCGGAATTTTTTCCAATTCAAATTCATGCCGAGGCCAGTTCATAAAAATATTGAACCCAGCCCGATTTTGAATCAATCACTCAGTAACCCGATTTTGCATGATCTTCTAAAGATACCAGAGAAAGAATTGTCATTGGACATAGTTTTTATTAGAAAAGGCTGATAGAACATATAAGTTGAGCAGAAAAAAACGACTAAAATACCTCAGCACATCACCCGTATGTCCAGACTGGAATTCTCCCCCGAAAACCGAAGTTCTGAAGCCTGTTGTAATATCCCATAGAACACATGTCTGATCAGTGGAACTTGTAATAATGTGGATGTCTTCATCTGGAACATACTGACAACAAGAAACATAGCCCTTATGCCCACTAAGGCTTATCGACACTGGTAGGTTTCCATCCTTGTCGGTCGATGAATTCAAGTTGAAAATAGAACATATACTATCAAGACCACCGCATGCAACGGATTGACCCGTTGGACAAAAAGCACATGTCATAACCCATGCACAAGGCAGCTTTATAGCATGAGTTTTCTGCCTCGTTAAAGCATTCCATACGATTAAGCGTCCATCCTGAGAGGCACTCACGATTCGATTTCTTTCGGGTGTCCAATCTTACAAGTATACCTGCATATTTCTTAGGAGTTAAATTCAAATATAGCACATCATATCTATTATCTAATAAGAACACCATGACAAGTGATCTACAATTCACTAATATTTAAGTTGATTTTGTGCATCATTCTTCAAAAACAAAGTTGATTTGCTTCAATCTAGAAGTTGTTTTCTTCCTCCATTTAAGAAGGTTCCTTCCAAAAAATACTAAAACCCAGAAATTCGATCCTGTAAAAGTTATGTAGTAAAGAAATTTACAAGAAAGAACAACAAAAACCATTTTCAAAAGCAAATCAAATTTGAAATATTATGCAAATTAGATTACAAAAAAATTGTAATAAAAGAAATGATACCTTGCCAGTGTGACCTTGCAAGGTCCTACAGCAAACCAAATCCGTTGGACCAAAAGCAATTGGACTCTTCCCTTGCGATCTTGCATATCCAGCGACTACCCAAAATCCCAAACAGATCTTACAACCAAATTTTCAAAATTCCAAAACATGAGTGTGTGTGTAGAAACAGTAATGAAAAAGGATTGAAATTTGTCACCATCAGTGTCGAGCAGCTGCTGGCGTTTCTGCCGCAATCGGTCTTTCAGATTGTTGACTGTCTCCGTCGCCGCCGCGTGCTTCTCTTTCAGCTCCGCAACGGGCATGTTCCTACCTTTTTGGTTTTCACTCGAAAAACAAAAAAGTCCAACCAAGAAAAAGAGACATTTTTTAAGTAGCTTTTATTATAGTCATTCTGTTGAGGTTATGAAATAAAGGACTCGCTATCTACTCTATTATCTATGGATTCTTAATCAAAATGAGAACAAACCCAGGAAAAAGGAACGATCTTTTAACAGTAAAGTCGATGGCAGTAATCTCTCTCCAAAAAAAACGATGGCTGTAAGATTCAGAATGAAGTTTTACGGTTTTGATTAAGTTTCACTGATCAGTCGGGACCAGTTTCAATTATTTCCAAACATGATATAATTTACGGTAAACTACCCAATAATTATAAAATTAGTATCGATATGACAATCATACTCTTAATTTTGATAATATAATCACATAATTATTTAAATGATTTTAATGTAATCACTTGTTAAAAATACATAACTAATTGATATAGTTGTTATTGACTAATGGTAAGTATGAAGTCCACATCAGTTATAATATTTGTTTTTAATGCCAAGTGACTATTAGAGATATAAATAGTGATATGGTATTGCAATATCATTTGTTATATAACGATAGTGATATTGTTCGATAATGTTATTACATGGTCACGATACTCGTAATCACCGTAATAATACCCACTACATCCCCAATCGTAATAAATACAATGCAATTGAGAATGCAATTTAAATCCCTGATGACTATATTGAAACTATTTAAATAATTATGTGGTTATATTATCAAAATTAAAAATATAGTAATCAAAATAACACTAAGTCTATAATAGTGTGTAAAAACACTTTTAAATATCTTTCAAAATTCATCCTCTTTTTTCTTTTTTACAATAAACTGCGCCACAGTAAAAGTTAGGGTAAACTACATGCGTGACTATCAAACTGTTACTCGAGTACACTTTGACCATCGACGTTTGAATTCGATCAAATAGACCACTTAACTAAATATTTCATTCAAACTACTGACCGTTAGCTTTTAACGGAAGAAGTGACGTGATAGTTAAAAACTTTGATATAACTGCATATTTGATCCTCCATATTTACACATTATATTATTTTATTCGTATTTTATTCAATTAAAATTAATTTGATCTCTAATTAAATCGTGATACGTGTTATTACATGATTAGAGACTATTTTCTTAATTTTTAATTATTTAATCTAATAATTTTGTATCCAATAAGATGGTGACACGTGTCACTACCATATTAAGGAGAGAAAATAAGAAGGAAAACCTCCATTGCAACAGTTAAACCACTAGGCTAAGGCTTCAACTTAGTCTTATATTACAATATATTTTACATACAGGGTCTCAGTTAATAACAAAAAATAAAATAAAAATTCTAACAAACATGATAACAATTATGGATGACACAGCCATCACAACTATAACCACTAAGGCAAATCAAATAATTAAAGAACTTTTAGTTTGTTTTATATATTTATAATTTTTGTTAATTTAATATAAGTGGACTGAAGGGTTTCCTGCGTCTATTGAGCGTAAACCAAGCTCACATCTTTGGAAGGCATTTCCTCAGTTTGGAGCAATGTGTGGTCAAGTCTTGTTTGGAATATCGGGAATGGTCAGAGTGTCGATTTCTGGAACGATGCCTGGCTTAGTGATTTGGGTCCTCTGAGGAGTTTTGTTGTTGACCATTCAGCAATGGCTTCAGTTCAACAGCTTACTCGGACGACTAACAGAAATATAAAGTGGTCTGCTCCTCCTCTACACTGGTGCAAGATTAATACGGACGGTGCTTGTAGTGGGAGAGATGGTACCGCCTCTCGTGGGGGGTTGATTCGCTCTTCGAACGGTGATTGGATTCTTAGTTTTTCCAAAGCTATTAGGATATGTTGTGTTATTGAAGTTGAGCTCTGGGTTGTCCATGAGGGTTTAATTCATGCTTGGAATCGAGGAGAGAGACGAGTAACAGTGGAAGTGGATAGTTCGGAGGCTATTCAAAAGGAAAGTCGAGATGGTAGTCCTTTCACCCTTCTCGATCGTATTTTTGAGTTGATTAACAGGGAGTCGATCGTGAAGCTGGAATATGTCAGCAAGGTTGCCGATAAATTAGCTATGATTGTCGGATCTAATGGTTTTCCTCATGCCACCTTTGGATGTCATTAGGGATGGCAAACGGGTACAGTTTCGTGGATTCCGCACCGCATCCGCTCCAATTGGAGCGGGTATGAGTATAATTTTAGCGGGTAGTGGGCGGGTGTGGATTTATAAAGTGGTACCCATCGTGGGTGGTGGGCGAGTAATGGGTTTGAGACATTAGGCGCCCCGCATCCGCCCGCCCAGCTAAATATCTATTAAATTTTGGACCATTATGAATTTAGGTGTAATTTTAGAGACTAATTTATAAATTTTAATATTGTATAATATATAACATATAATTTAACCAAATATTAAGGATATTTAGTTTTTAATCTGGTCTTTAATTAGAGAAATATTCGGCTCTTTGATTAAACCCATAATCCCACTAACCACGTCACTTTTCATGTTCTTTAGCCCATGGTGCCTATCCAAACACAAATTAGCCGTACTATATGCATTAACATCAAATGCAGCAGTTTCCATGTTCTTTAGCCCCTCAAAACCCATATTAGGCTCACTATGAGCATTAACATCGAAAGCAACTCAACAATCCAGCTCTGCGACTACATGCTCCCTACAATCTGTCTCCATAACATTCGTAGAGCCACTCTTCTGACAAATTGAAGCATGCGCTGCTACCTCATCACGAACTGCTTGGGAACCAACTCCAACATCTCATTAGTTTGCTTTCAGACGGGTTTATATGGGTATGTCGCTAGTGGGTAGTGAGTGTGGGGATGGATTTGAAAATGTACCCGCGTGGGCGGGTGTGGATTTGAAAATTTGTACCCATCATGGGTGGTGGGCGGGTGGTGGATTGAAAAATATTAGGTGAGTATGGGGATGGGGATGGGGGAGGGGGTATCCGCACCCGACCTGCCCGTTTGCCATCCCTAGATGTCATTTCTCTTTTGCAGCAGAACAGCGTTGAGCTTGTAATGGACGCTGGTCTTTAATTGCTGTTTCTCCTCTTATTCACAAAAAAAAAAATTACATATCTTTATTAATTATAATTTAATATTATATATATTTATTAATAATTATAAATATATAATAAATTATAAATTAATGGAATAATATAATTTAATAAAACCAATAATTCTAAATTTTAATATATAAAATTATCAATACAATTTAATAAAAAATAATTCTTAATAAATATTACATTATAATTAATAAAAATATATAATATTAAAATATAATAATTTAATGAAACAATATAATTTAATAGAAAAATAAATCTTAAAAAATATTAAATTATAATTAATATATATAATTAAAAAATAAAATATATAAAACATATTTGATTTGGCTCTAGTGGTTTGGACATGTCCTTAGGAGACAACCTTCAGATGCGGTAAGGAGGGTAGAGTCGATTACAGTCGATGGTGCCAGAAGGAGAGGACGACCAATGAGGAAGTGGGAAGACTGCTTGAGATCTGATTTGAAGGATTTAGCCCTTACAGAGGACATGACCTCTGATAGAAAATTATGGAGACTTAAGACCAGGGTAGCCGAGTAGTGCGGGTCACATCCGTCGGATGTATCATCTCTGTCTTCTTTTAATGTCTTTGTAGTAATTTACATGACTTCTACTTTTTAAACGTTTCTGTCAATGGAAATTATGGAAGCTTAGAACTAGGGTAACAGAGTAGTGTTGCCTTTGTTTAGGTTTTAACCTATTTTATTTATTCCTTCTCATAGCTTGCTATCGTTAACTTCTGTGTATCATTCTCTTCATGTTTCCTTTTTTTAAATTTTTTCGGGTCTTACGTTTTTGTCTATTGCAGAGATTTTTATGCAGAGATTTATTTGTAGTGATTACTTCCCATTTACAGACGCGCATATTGAAGACTGCATTATTAACACTGTTCAACTACGTATTTATTTATTTAACTATACATGCATTGCATTCTATTTTTATTTTTAATTTTCTGACTGCCGGAGGTCTTCCACGGAAGTTGCTTTCAACCTTGCGTTGGGGCAGCCTACTACCCTACCTCCCTTTACCCCATTGTATATGGGAATAGGGTTTTGTTGTTATTGTTGTTGTATCCATGTTTGTAATATTTGGTTCAAATCTCATAGTTAGTCTTTTTATTTTATTTTTGTCATTTACGTTATATAAAATATATTGTAATATAAAATTAAGTTGAAGCCTTAGCCTAGTGGTTTAGGCGTTGCTTTGACATTAAACTTGTCCCACGTTTGCATCTCCATGGGCAAGGTGGAGGTTTTTCCTTCTTGTTTTCTTCTTATTGGATAGAGAAACTATTAGATTAAATAAATAAAAATTAAGAAAATATTCTCTAATTGGATAATGACACATGTCACGATTTAATTGGTGATCAAATTTATTCTAATTGAATAAAATGATGACTAAAATGATATAATATGTAAATATTGAGGATCAAATATACAATTATACCAAAGTATTTAACTGTCACTTTACCTTCCCGTTAAAAGTTAACTTTTAGTGGTTTAATTAAAACATTTTAAATAATTGAATGATCTGATTTATAAAATCCAAACGTCGATTGTCAAAGTGAAGTCGGGCAATAGTTTGGTGTAATTTACCCTAAAAGTTATTCGGTGGTGTAGCTGGCCAAACCCTCGGACAAAAGGTCCTGGATGGCGGTAGTAACTACTACAACCCGAATTTTCGGATAATAATAACGTTTTCTTTAATCATGAGACCACTTATTGTCATTGGATTTAATTGTTTGAACGACTGAATCCGAAACTTAGATTACAAAGAGAGATTCAATGCCTCTTTGAAGAACTTGCTGCCTCACAAACTCGTTAGCAAATTATGTTGACACTTGCAGAGTAAAAAATTAAAAATGATCTAATAATATTTTCGCAAACATTTTGGACAGGATATATAAATGTAATATTCATAAATTAAAGTTCTATTTTTTCAACAAAAGAAAAATATGTTCATGTAATCAAAGTGACAACCATAGCGCAGCTGCAACAACATAAAATATTTCAATCTAACAACGCCCTGGTAAAATACCAAAAGCACAATTCAACCAACACATTTCACATCAGAAAAGCATCAAAAGTTTTCAGTTTTCGCCTCTGTTGAGAACATTGATCGAGACATTGGGGATATATCCAGTTTTATGTACAAAGAAGCCGGTTTGACTCTAGCACATCAATGCACCAGTCTGGTATATGCACAAAAGACCGACAGAGAAAACCGAACCGAACATCATTGGAACGGCACCAAGGGGGTGACTAATCGCCTATCAGCCTACCACCACCATAGCGTAAATACTGCTTTTTCTAATCAAGATTTTCGAGTTGAGGTGGTTGAGTTGCCCTGCGAAACCATGTATTGAAAGCTGTGATCAAGTGGGGGCAATCCTCGACATTTCGGGTTGAGAAGCTGAGACATTGTTGCAACAATATCTGTGCATCCGACATTGGCAGTGTTGAGATGATTCTCAGGAATGTCTCCTCCAATTCCAGGTACAGTGTTTTATGGCTGGGCAGCGTAGGTGAGACATTATCTTTGCACACAAGCAGAACGGGAAGCCAGTCTTTCACAAGCTTCATTCTAACCTGAAATGTACAGAAACTAAACTCATTTTAACCACTTGTGACAGACAAGAATATAAGAAATACTCGCCTTCTCTAGAACTCAAGCACAGAAACGGAAGTTTCATACATAATGAAGTGTTCAAAATGAACAAGCAGCAGCACACTTTCCTGGTAAAATCTGGCATTACCTTCAAATCTTGCAAGAATAAAGTACCCTTTAGTACTCTTTTTTAATCCTAGAGTAAACACATGCTTAGACCATACTTATGCTTTAAAGTTATAATTTGTAATTAGTCTTCAGGATCTTAAACTTCAAAAACCAGAAGCATTCGTATTTCAAGGGCATTTGTTAGATTTTAAGTACATAAAGTTTAGAATTTATTTGCCGTCGAGTAGACATATTAAGTATATGATTCAATCACCCAAATACACCACTGGATGCATTTGCTGGATCGCAAATTAGTCCCCATTTTATAAAAGCAAATCACATGTATTAAAAAAAGGCCTAAAAGTGACCAAGGCTGGAACAAAGTTATTAACCAACTTAAAATCCCAACCAAATTTCAAAGACTGAATTGACTAAAGCATGAACATCCTTTCAGCAACGGATTGAACATAGCCAAACTAGGGGTTTATTATCTTGTTCCTAAGGGCGATCAGTTCACATAACTTTACAAAAATTAGCATTCACATTCCAAAAGAGCAGACCTCAACAATACTAGCAATTCATTAGAAGAACCAGAAAATGCGTAAAGATTCCAATAAAAAAACACAACTGTAAATATAATAATTTATCAGACATGGTCTGATAAACGCCTGCAAATTCATATAGTCAAAATAACAAGCAAGAAATCAGTACCTGTCTAGCAGCCAAAATAGTTCCAGCAGCAACCGCATTGGCAAGCTTACAAGTACACCGAAGCACGACAGAAGGGAGTCCCGGAACAATATTCCTCCAAGCATCATCCCTAAACGCTCTCTGCAAATCCGCTGTAAACGAAGCCTGCTCACTCCATTCCCTCACAGCCGAATCCGCCACCCTCAACTCAATCATCCTCTCAACCAACCACAACAAATGTCTCCCATTAGTCATCGCCGTATGCAAATTTAACCTCTGTATCGCCTCCGTCTCGTTATGATCCCCTCTAAAATCAGGGCTCGTATACTCTTCCAAGCTCTCCTTCACAACCTTCAAACTACTCTCGAATGACCTCTCCAAAACCCTCCTGGCCGATTCCCGCGATGAGAAATCCCTCAGAAGCTTGGCCACAAACGCTTTGACGAACGCCATGTTGGGATGGTTATGAATCGCCGATAAAATCAAACCGTGCAACATATCTTCGCATGAATCATCTTTCCCCGGCGAAACGCGGGCAAGAAGTTCCTTCGACTCTTCCTCGCGCAAGAAGGGGATCAAGCTCAACACTCTCTTCTCCTCCTCCTCGCTCCACGGCACGGCTTCCAAGAATTTCAAACACGATTTCACGCAATCCTCGAAGAGTAATTCCAGTGCCACAGGGAGGATTTCGATTGCTGTGGAAGCGGAGTTGATGACGGTTGCGAAATCGCTCGTGTAAAGCAGTTGAAGGACGGTTAAACGGACGGTTATTGAGTTCGGATCGTTGTCGGAGACGCCGAGGTTTAAACGAACTAGATTTTTATTATTATCCTGATCATTGCTTCGAGAACCTTCTGCGCCATTGTCACTGTTTGCGTCGGGCCTCGTCTGGTGTTGCCAACAGTCAGACAAAAGAGCCGCGAAATATTTTGCGCGGCGGATGACATCGGTGTGGAGATAGATCTGGATGTCGGATTGACGGGTAGAATCAGAGGGTGCATCGGAGTCAAATGCGGAACGGTCAACGAAGATGCGGAGCAAAACGTCGGCGGTGTAGGGATCATTGAAGGAGGAAGTAACGGAGTAGGTGCGGTGGAGCTTTCGGGAGGATTCGGAGATGGATTTGTCAGAGAAAGTGTGTATGGTAGCGGCGGACGAGGAAAGGCGTGTGGAAGAGGGGTGATGGTGAGGCACGGGCTGACGCTTTCGATAGCTGTTTGGCATTATTGAGGAGGTTGTAGAGGAATTGATAATTTAGGTTTTGGATAAGGAGGAAATGGAAAGGGTAAATTGAAGTCGAGCGATATTTGGGCACTATCTGCCATGATTCATTCATTTTTGATTTTTTTCATTACATTTGTACTTAACGTAAGGGTAAATTTCAGTTATAGTCACCTAACGTTTAATATATTTTCACTTTGATCATCAAAGCTTTAAAACTTGTATTAGAATTATTAAACTTTAAAAATACTTTCAATTGAGTCACTCCCGTTAACTACAGTTGAGTCGATATTTCATGTGTTATTTTTTTAATAAATTAATATTTTTTAATTATTGGTTAATTAAAAATTTTAGCCAAATATTATTGTATTTCATAGATTCAAACTTGAGACCTTAAAATTTTAATACTTAACTATTGCACAAAACTTGATAGCTGTTACGTAATTGAAAAAATAATATTTAGTTTAATTTATTATTAAAATTAATTATATTTTATAAAAATATGTCAAAATAATATAAATTATAAAATATTATAAAAATATATTTTAACATAAATTAAAATATATTATTTTTATAAGAATATTTATAATATATATTAAAAATAAAAGTATATTAATTGCAATATAAGTTGTAAATATAGTATGTAATTTAATTTGTCATGTCATTTTTTCTCCTCATCAACAATTCATTAAATAATATGATAATGATGCTGGTGTTGGATATAAGTTTCAAAGTCAAGATCCATTCAAAAAAAACAAAAACAAACAAACACATAGCCATAAGGTTAGACTTCTAAACGAATTGAACGAAGATGAACGGGTATATCCATGGTCGTTTGTTTAATTTTAATTGAATAAACATGAATAACTAAATAAATGAAATTTTTATTTGTGTTCGTTAATGTTTGTTCATTAAAATGATAAATGAACATAAATAAACGAACATAAATAAACGAACGTAAATGAACACAAACGAACGAACATAAAACTAATTAGTTTATATTTGAGAATAGTTTTTTCTTTCCAAATAATTTTAAGGATTATATTTTCTTTAATTGATTTAGGTATTTTTTTAGGTTTAAAATTAATTGGATTTTAAATATTAATGGACTTAAGGTTAAAATTTATTAGGTCTTAATATTTTAAACGTGTTTGGAGATTGAGTTGAACATAAACGAACGAACAAAAATGAACATAAATAAACGAACGGATTATCGAACGTTCACGAACGTAAAGGAACAAACGAGTCATTTGTTCGTTTTTGTCCATTTAATAAAATGAATATAAAATCTTGTTCATGTTCGTTCGTTTAATAAATAAATAAATTTTTCACTGAACAATTCACGAACAGTTCGTTGAATGTTTAGTTCGTTCGCAACCTACACAAGGTTAACTAAAAGTTTATTCTATCAAAATTTTATATTTAAATTAAATTTTACATCACTTAAAGAATATGTTAAAATATGAATTTTGATATTTATAATTTAAATGTTCGTAAAATTATAAATATTTAACAATTTAGAAGACAATATTCTAGTATAGTGGATTACAAAAAATTTAAATTTTTCATATAGTTAATCTACTGGGGATGATTTCTTACGAATAACGATTGTGTACGGCCACACTTATCGTGGTCTCTAATTAAACCAATTAATTTTAATTAAAAAATGACTACATGTCACATTATTGTTTTTCTTTGATTTTATTTCTTCAATAAAATGATGATATATGTCACCATCTTATTAATCGAATAAAACTAACGTGAACCATCGATAAGAAAATAGAAAATAACATTAAAAAAATAAGAAAATAAAAAATATATCAATGTTGTTTTCGTCGTTAACTTTTTAACGAACATCGATCATTATAATATATATATAATTAGTGATTGTTTTGTTAAAAAACAGTTTGGTGATTAGAGTAAAATATAGTTTAATTTGGTGACTAATAATGTAGTTTACCCTTCTTTTTTATCTTAAGCTTAGAGGTGTTTTGTGATTCTCAAGTTATTTTCTCTTTAATAAATTTAAACAAACGTTTTTAAAAATACTTTAATGGCATTTTTATCGAAAAATCACTGGTGACCGGTATATTTATCGATTTAACATCGGTCAGATTATATTTCTCGATCTAACACCGGTCAGATTATATTTCTCGATCTAACACCCGTAGCAGTAAAAGCGCGCTTCCTGCCCCGCGCTATATGTTGATTTGGCGCCACGTGAGGTATAGCGCGCGTCCTGTACCGCGCTATACGCTGACATGACTTACACGTGGGTATAGTGTGGCCCCTGATCCGCGCTATATATGTTTATCTGACACGTGGGGTATAGCGCGGTACAGGGGGCGCTATACCTTTAATTACCCTCTCCAAATCCTCCTTATAAATACCCTCATCCTCTATTACTTTCATCACACCATATTCTCTCAAATTCTCTATCTATTTAAGGTATATTTTATAATATTTTTAATATTATATATTTAATTTATTTAAGTATTTTACTTTATTTAATATTTTACTAATATAATTTTTGCAAATATATAATGGAAGGCGATATACTTCGCTTGGATGGAAATCATATATATCGATACTTTGCTGATACGGTAACATTTTAACGTTTTAATTTAATTTAAATTATTTGTAATAATTTGTTGATTTATTTAATGCATGATTATTAGATTAAGAATTAATTTGTGTAATTATTTAATTTTAAGAGAAGGACCGTGTATTAGATCATTTTATTAGGAATCTTAAGTTAGTGATACGTAGCCGTGTCTTGTCGTACTTAGTAGAGGATGGATTTGGTTACATAGGTAGATATCAGGGTCACTGTAAGATAGAACCAGACCTTATTTCTGCCGTGGAGGCCGGAGTCCCACACATTCCATCTTCCCTGCGGAGAGTGCACGATTACACTTGAGGATGTTGCTATGCCCCTAGGGCTTCCGGTGGATGGAGATGTGATATCAGGGATCTCGCAGGGTTCTTGGACTACTTTGTGCCGGGATAATCTAGGACGTGTCCCGGAAAGTTTTATCGGAGGTAGGATACCATTAAATTGGTTAGATGCCAATTTTCGGGAGTTGAGCGCAGACGCCTCTGAGAATGAAGTTAAGATGTATGCACGGGCATGCATACTGCAGTTGATAGGAGGGTTGCTGATGCCGGACAAATCGCGCAACCTAGTTCACTGCATGTGGTTGCGACATCTTAGCGACTTTCGTCTGGCAGGATCATTCAGTTGGGGCTCGGCAGTTTTGGCTTTGCTGTACAGGGAGATGTGTGGAGCCACTGACTACAGGCGTAATGCTATCGACGGATGTCTCCTGCTGCTGCAGTCTTGGGCATGGTATCGATTGCCCTTTTTATGTCCCGTTGTGAAGAACCCATTCGTATTTCCACTACTTCTGAGGTAATTATAAAACTGATTTTGTATATTAATAATTTTATACAGCGTATAATAATTTTTTTCCTTGAATAGATGGTCTACTGATAGGAAAAATCATCAGGAGCTACCTGATGATTTAGAAAAAATTAGGGTGCTAATCGATCAGAAGGCTGGCACACAAGTATGAATTTTAATGTTTAAAAATCGATTTTAGATTATAGTTATATAATTAGATTATTATTTTGATAAAAAATTATATAATATTTGTTTTAGTTTGAATGGGTGTCATATTGTACTGATGATGTGAGGGCGGTGATCCCACCTAAGTTGAGGGGCTCATCAGATGTTTGGATGGCGATGGTCCTTCTGATCTGTTATGCGACCATCGAGTGGCACTCTACTGATCGCGTGCTCCGGCAGTTTGGTTGTTTTCAACCAATTCCGGAAGCACCTCGCAATATGGACGAGTTGCATAGCTTAAATAGACGCGGCAAGACGGATACAGATTGGCTGGTGTGGCATCATGAGTGGGTCGTGTTGTGGGAGGATCGACATCGGTGCCTTCCCCGTAGAGAGCCCATTTTTGATGACCTCTTGATGTTTGCTGATTGTTATTATGAGTGGTTCAACAGTAACGAGAAACCGTTTCTGCTTTTCGAGGATGCACGAGGGTAGACCTTTTCGCGACGTCGACAGAGACGTTCACTGACATAGCACCATCGTCCCTCGACTCGTGGACGGAGAGCAGGTACTTCCGGTTCATCCTCAGCTGCACCAACATGACCTTCACAGTAGCCACCACAACCATTTATGATGTCATAACCATATATGATACCACCACCTTTCCATTACTAGATGCTGTCGCCGCCGCCTTCACCTGGTTTTATGACCCCGTCGCCACCACCGTCACAGATGACCCCTCTTGGAGGCTATTATAGGTCTATGTTTATAGATTTAATTTGGGGTTCATATGCTGGATATCTGGCAGTTTCAGCCTCATCACCCATGGTCGCAGCACAGACACCTCCTGTACAGTTTTCACACTCAACGATGTCTGGGTTTTATGAGTTTTCCCAGTTTTCGCAGGCCGGTGGGATAGTCAGTCATACACCTCCAGGGTCCTTATTCTATGGAGGTGCTTCATCGTCATCAGCTCCTCATCAACCTAATATACCTGCTCAGGACAACGACGACGATGGTGATGATGATGACAGCGAGGAGTCAGAACCAATGATACGAAGAAATCCTCCTCGAGATCGACAACCACCGCCCTGCAGAACACATTCGCGTCGCAGGCATCGATAGATTTTTTTATTATATTTGTATTTACTTTATTTTGTTAAATTTGTTGGACTTTTTTTTAATGTATTTCAGTTATTTTTTTTATTACCATTTAATATCAGTTATTGTAATTTGGTTATCATTTACCATTTAATTCTTATTATAAGTTTGTTGTATTTAAAATTATATTCAAATACCAAATTGTTATTAGTTTGATAAAATTTAATGATTGTGTTCGTTTTTAATCTTCATCATCGATTATCGAATGATATTAACTTGAAGTAAATGCAAATCAAAGTACAAGAATTATTATTTGATAAACAAATACATCATTTCCTCATCAATTGTTACTTGATGGCAACAGAAGTGGACATGTTTTTCTAGTGTGTCATGGGTTTCTACAATGCCCACAT